TTTATGCTTTAGGGTTGTCGAATGCTCTGGCACAACCCTTTAATAGTTAATTTTCTTTGGGATAGTCAGTATTGTAATTGTAGAATGAAAGACTTTGCAAAGTAATTGGAAGGTCTCTTGTGCCTTAAAGTGTATCAGTCCCCCTAAATTGAGGTGGAGAATTCCACAGATTCTTCTACACTTGTCCGAGTAAGCCAGATAGTATTTCTCCCATTAGAGTACTTTTTTCTGTAAATTGAAGTGTTTCATTTATATTGAAAATCTATGTGGAGATTTTGACTTCTAATTAGGCTACAGGAAGATACAAAAGAGCATTGGTTACTAATATCAAGAAAAACCTAAAAAACAAAAAGTGTAAATCACAGGTACAAGAAATAGATCTAGAAAAAAATCAGTGGACTTAGGTAGGACCAGAAGGATGACTTAGTGGGGTAAGAGTACTAGCCATTCTTCAGAGAACCTGGAGATTGGGCCCAGGGCCTCATGAATGCAAAGCAAGCTCTGTCTTTGAGCAATATGCATCCCTCTCTCTGGATGAATTTTAGTTACAAGGTTTCACCAAGGGTTTATTTTGTTGTGATTTTTCCCGCCTCTTCTTCTTTAGTAACTTTTAATGGCAGAGGATTTGCTAGTGTAGTGCAATTTATGGATGGCTACCCATATCCTATTTATAAAGTTTATAATGGGCTGGAGAGGTGGCTCAATAATTAAAATCAAAAGTTAATTAAAAGTGCTTTTGCAGAGGACTGGGTTCTGTTTATAGCATGCACATGGGGCAGCTCACAAGCACATAACTCCAGTTCTTGGGGGATCCAACCCTCTCTTGCATCCATGGGCATCTGCATGTACATGGTACACATAAACTTACTCAGGCATATACTGCATATACTTAATAAAAAATAAATAAAAAGGGTCTTTTTCTTTCTTAAAAAAGTTTATAATTGTCTTCTCTTGTTCAGAGCATGTGTATATTTGAATATGACACAATGACACTCATTGCTTTGTACCACTAATTTGTGTTCATTTAACTAGATTTTTCTTCTTTGCCTCCATACTCACTGTGTATCTTTTGATGCATATTGTGTTTTGCCAACTGGCTTTTTTAAAAAAAAATCTGTTTTAAGTAAAATTGCCTGGTTGTGTTTTGAATGTTCAGTTTTGCCCCCTTTCTTCTTCTTTGATGTTGGTCATTGAACATAGGGCTTTATGCATGCTCGCAGATGCTACACCATTGCACTAGGGCTACCACCTTCCCTTCTTTCTTAAATGCCTCCCCCAACATTTATTTTTCCAGTAAAAGTGATTTTGTTGAGATATTCAGAGATTGTTGTTTTTGACAGATTTTATTACTCCATCTACCTTGAAACATGTTCCATTTTGCTTTTAGGCAATCGCACTTTTGCCTGTATTGTCAGGGTTTCTGTCCTGCCCGGTTCCTGCAATCATTAAGTCCCAAAGAAAATCACACAGAGGTCTACATTAGTTATAAACTGATTGGCCCATTAGCTCAGGCTTTTTATTAACTCTTATAAATTATATTAACCTATTATTCTTGCCTGTGTTAGCCACATGGCTTGGTACCTTTTTCAGCGAGACAGTCACATCTTCTTCTGTAGTGGGATCACAACTGCCAAAAGAGCTTCCTTCTTCTCAGAATTCTGTTCTCATTCACCCCCCTCTACTTCCTGTCTGGTTGTCCCGCCTATACTTCCTGCCTGACTACTGGCTAATCAGCGTTTATTTAAAATATAATTGACAGAATATAGACATTAGTCCCCACCATGCCTGGAATGCAGTGTTGTCTTGCCTGAGTTAATGATACTTGAGAGTCCTTGGTGGGTTCTTTTTCTTAATCTGTATAGTCTCACAGTGTTATGGAACCCAGTTATTTGCCCTCTTTTCTGTCTGTCCTCATAGTGCTGATGATCTCATCTCATTTTTTACTGTTTTAAGGAATAACTATAAGTAGATGTCTTGCAAATTTATATTCTTAGTATGAGTCTTTTCTTTATATCTCTAAATGCCTATATCCAATTATCAGCTTTGGGTCACGTTTGTGTATCTCTAAGGAACTTCAGGCCCAAGTTTTTAAATACAGATACCTCATCTCTCTTATATCCAAGAACTGATGTGATCTTTGCCATTTGAGGTTACAGCAAGCTCCATTCTATCAGCTTATACTGCCACATCTGAACAAACACTGAATGATAAGATTTAGTGACTATCTTTTTTTGTTTGTTTGTTTTTCAAGACCTCTGTAGCTTTTTGGAGCCTGTCCTGGAACTCGCTCTGTAGACCAGTCTGCCCTCAAACTCACAGAGATGCGCCTGCCTCTGCCTCCTGAGTGTTTTAAAGGCATGCGCCACGCCGCCTGACCCATCTTTGTTAGCTTATACATAAAGGTATTGTGTGTCAGTGGCATGCAATATATGACGGTTAAGTAATTCAGACCTAAACCATTTGCACAGAGATAAATAGCTTTATTTGATGAGAGCAATTGTAAAATTAGAGAACATACCATGGATATCTTCTGTTTGGTCTTTTTTCTTTTTTTATTTGTATTAAATTTTTTTTTGATTGTATTCTTCATTGATTCTTTGGTCCTACTTCCCACTTTCTCTGGTCATCTTCATGTTCTTACATAGTCTCCTTTCTTACGTGTGTGTGTGTGTGTGTGTGTGTGTGTGGTTGTGTGCACATGGCAGAGATCAGAGGACAGCCTTATGTGTTGGTCCCCCTTGTCTTTCTACCTTGTTTGAAAATAGGGTCTCTTTGTGGCTGCTTCTGCAGACTAGCTGGTTGGGAGCTTCTGGGAATACCCCACTTCTGCTTCCCATCTCCCCCATGGTGAGGACAGTGTAGACGCTTGTGCTGCTGCATGTTCTTTACGTGGATTCTAGGGCTCTGAGCTCCCAGTCAGGCTCTTGCTGCAAAGTCTTGTACCCATCAAACCACCCCCCCCACTTTATTTATTTTAGAATGTTTTGTTCTATGGTTATAGCTGAGGACCTGGAACTTCCTATGTAGACCACGATGGAACTGAATTTGGGACTCATCTTTCTTCTCTCCCTCCTGAATTTGGGGATTACAGGCTTAAATCATTATGCTTGACTTATCTCTGTATTTGTGTGTGTGTGTGTTTTATTCTAGATCCTGTAGATGAAAGAAAACATGCAGTGTTGGGGGTTTAGATTGTGTTACTTAATCATCTTTGGCTGCATTTGGAGTCTGACAGTTGTTTAAGCAAATAGATTAGTTTCAGGACATACTGAGAAATCTAGAAATGGTATTGGTTTAGCTTCTCAGCTCATTTTGTCTTTCTACTTGATATTTGATAAGACTTATCTATAAACAGACTTTAATTCTTTTATTCATTGACTTTTTGTACTAAGATGACTTTTGCAACTCTAGTCATTATGTGGTGATTTAAGAGTAGGAAAATGAAGGACTAAAACTGTTGTTTAGCCACAGTGTCACTGAATATTGTATAAGTCATTGATTTTACTTATGTCTTCTTTTCGTGTCCACCTCTTTTAGTCTAGAACACTCAACCCACTTAACATTAGTGCTGTTAGCAGTACTCATCACATAGAACCTCAAGTCTGCTAAATTGAAATATAATTGGTGATTGGGATTTATTTGCATGGAAAAAATTGTTAATTTTTAGTAAGCTCAAATGACATTTTAGTGAAAAAAATATTTGCTTTGTTTTGGTTTTTTGAGACAAAGGTACTGCACACTGTACCCCTGACTGATCTGGAACTCACTGTGTAGACCAAACACTGGCTTCAAACTTTGAACTCACAGAGATTTGACTCTTCCTCCTGAGTACTAGGATTAGGCATGTGCTATATCACCTAGGTCCATATTACCTGGGCATTTATTTTGATAGATGAAGGCTCCCAATAGTTTACAAATATATGAACAATTTTATTTAAGAAACTAGCCATTTCCTTAGAAATAAGCAAATTTGTGTATACAGATATACCCGCGTATTTTTAAGAAGCAGTAGCAGTCTTGGTAGATACATCTTTGTTGCCTTGTCCAGAAGACTGTTGAGATGGGAACTTTCTCCAGCTGGAAATGAAGGCTTTCCTAAGCATCACCTCAGCTGGAACTCATAGCTCTAGAAGATACAGGCTTGACAACAGGTTAAAATGCAGGGACCAAGAGTAAGGTGACTGCCAGTGGTCCTAGAAGTGTGAGCAGCCTGGACAAGTATAACATTGGTTCTAAAAGTTCATCAGTGAAAACCTTTTGTTCCTTGTTCCTTAAATCACTTGCACATTTGATGCTGTTTGGGAGATTTTGTTTTATATGTCTAGATTTATGGATATAAAAGCAGCAGTCTTACTTAGTCTCATACAGGTTCTACTTTGAATAGCCGCAAATCAAAGACTTAGATTTTGAAGCACAGTTGCTGCAAATAAATTTAACTATATTTGTATATTAAAAGTTCTCCGATGTATTAAGATGCATCCAAATAAAAACAATTATTGAGTTCTAGGAATAGTCCTTGAGCTGTAAAAGAAAAGCAGAACAGTAGGCCTGACAGAAGAAAATAGTTGTTTTCTTGTATCACAGGGCAGGAAACCTTGTGTTTTATAAAATCCCAGGAAGCAAGAGAAGAGTCAAGATAGGAGACATACGTAGATATGGCCACTTACTGTCTACCAGTAGTCCACTTGTATTCTGGGAGTTCTTTTTTGACTGGCCAAAACTGGTTAATTGAATGATGGCTGGTTTTGGTCTTCAGGAATACTAGGTATCCTGTCAGTAAAAAGTGAGAGCCCAATGTGGTTAACCTATCTGGGAAGGCTGCCAAGTCCACTTCAGCTGATGTGTTGGTTTGCGTATTTGATTATATTTTCAGTTTATGGTGGTCAGCATTTTAAAATTTCAGTTTAGCTTTTGTTGTAAATTAAGAATTAGGAAGGATGTTCCTTAGTTATAAAAATACATTTTTATTGTTAATTTTGGTTTTCTTTTGCTTTTTATAGAATGTTGGCTCAATTAAGAAACATCAGGGAGATAAATTCAACCCAGTGGTAAGTAGAATTTCTTTTTTGTTTGATTCTTTTTCCGTTCTCCCCCCCCCCCCCCCGCCTTCTTCACTTATCAAGCTCTGGCTGGCTTGGAACTCAATATGGAAACCAGGCTGGCATCAAAGAGATCTATTTCTACTCCCCAAGTGCTGGGGTTAAAGGCATGAACTACCATGGCTAGTTTTAGTTTTTGTTAGAAAGTTGTCAGTTTCTTATGCTCCTTTTCTGGGTTAACTACTTTTCTTCCTTTATGATTAGAAGGTTCTTAACTCCAAACCTGGCGGTGGCGGCACACACCTTTAATACCAGCACTCAGGAGGCAGAGGCAGGTGGATCTCTGTGAGTTCGAGGCCAGCCTGGTCTACAAGAGCTAGTTCCAGGACAGGATCCAAAGCTACAGAGAAACCCAGTCCTGGGGGGTGGGGGGTGGGCGGGGATTCTTAACTCCATTGTCACCTCTGGTTTATGTAGTAGCTTTTCCTAAAATCTCATTAGCAGTCCATCAATTTAATTGTGCATCATTTCTATTCAGACTGGTTTGGTTGTCTTTCTTGAGGGTAACTGTCTTGTATTATTATGCATTGTGCCTTGTATTATTATTGCATTAGGTAATTTTGCTTTCCGTTTATCCCTTTCTCTCAAGGATTAAAGTCTCTTTAGTTTTTCTTTTAAATTAGTTAGCAACTTTCATTCCATACTGTCTTATCTGTAGACCTATGTAGAATTCAGATCTATTTTTGTATTGGCTGAATTCTGTTTTACTAAGGACTAAGAGTCTGACATAATCGCAAATGCTTGTAATCTTAACTTCTGTCTGTCTGCCTGTTTTTTCGAGACAGGGTTTCACTGTAGCTTTGGTGCCTGTTCTGGAACTCAATCTATAGACCAGGCTGACCTCGAACTCACAGAGATCTTTCTGCCTTTGCTTCACGAGTGCTGAGATTAAAGGCATGTGCCACCACTGTTCGGCATAATCCTAACATCTAAGGCTGAATACTCACTTGATTCCAAGAGACCAGTCTGAATTTAATCTGATGTTTGAATTGCTCTTTGTAGCTTTCATGCACAAAAGTTTCTTTTGAATGTGCACTCTGTAGCTTCCTAGAGCAAAGAACACATTTATTCTTCCTTTTCTGAATTAATTGTCCTGCTGTAATTTTTTATCTATTTACTCTATGAAGGAAAATCTTGGGGACTTTCAATTTAACAATTACTTTGCTCTATAAATTACCCTGTACGTCAAGTGACCTACATGATATCCAAAATAAATATGCTTTCTTTCAGATTAACATATATCAGGTAATAACATTTCATGTCATTCATTTATTATATTCCCAACTCTGGAATGGTTTCTGGGACATAAATTTATTTTAAGTCATATCATTCAAGTTCTTTCACACTGTCTAATTGTGTGTCCAGACATATTTGTTAACATGCAGTTGGGGAGAGTCGTAGTTGAGGCACTGAAGTGGCTCTGTGCAGTTGAAGTTTCTGTAATGATAGAAACGGTTTGATTCACTTTGGTATCCCTCGTATGATGTGGCATTTGAGCATTTGAACTAAAATGGAATAAAGTAATAGATTTTAGATTTTATTTGATTAATATTAAGTTTAAATAGCACATGTATCTACTGGCTACCATACTGGATAGAACAGATAACTGGTTCTTAAATGGCCTGACTCAATATCAGTTTAAATGAGGTATCTTTTATCTATCTTGAGGATTCAATATTTTTAATTTAATATAATTTCTTTTTTGATTCTGTGGGAATTACACATCATTCCACTCATTTTCTGGTCTCTTCATATTTGCCCTTCACCCTTCCAGCATTTCCTCACCACCCAAGAAAGTTTTTAAAAATTTCAAAACAAACAAACTCACTTTGGTTCTCTGTCTTTCTTGCCTCTCCAACACCTCTTTATTCATTTTAGTGGCATTAGGAGTCGCAATGTGTCACGCAATACATTTTTGTTCTATCAGCTTTACTTTCAAATGTTCATTGTAGTGAGTCACTGGTGCTTCAAGGTCTTCAGTGGCAACTGAAGCCATGGACATCAATACAGACCCCAACTGGTGTAGGGACACAGACCCAGACATGGCCCTTTGCAGCAGCTTAGGCCCGAATATTATCAAGGGCACTAGAGGCAGTGCAGGCAGCATGGCACAGCTGCAGCATGACTCTTAGACACCAACATGGCCTCAGGAGGCAGACCAGACCCCCGGTATCCCCATGGCCTTTGCTTGTAACAGGAGCCAAGGACATCAACTCAGATCCTGATTACAGTAGTACTGTGGACCCAGACATGGCACTCAGCTGCAGTTTGGTCCTGGATGTCACCACAGCACAGTGTGGCAGTGCAGGCCACTCAAGATTAGTAAGGCCTCTATGGTGGCCTGGCCGTCTGACACCTGTATAACCACAGAGGGTAGCCCAGACACTGGACATCCTTGTGGCCTTTGGCAGCAGCACAGGCCTGAACTATACCATGGCCCCAGGTGGCAAGCTGGCTACCCATATCATCCTGCTCCTCATACATCACCTTTGCTTCATCTGTTCTACCTCTTGCCACAGCAGATGAAGCATTCTCCTTCTCTTTCTCCCATTTCACCCAGTGTTAACCCCACGTTGGGTGTTATTTTGTAAACAAAGACTGTACTTTTGCTTTCCAGCTGCCCGGACCCAAATAATCACACAGAGACAATATTAATTATAATACTGTTTGGCCAATGGCTTAAGCATATTCCTAGCTACCTCTTAGATCTTAAATTAACCCATTTCTATTAGTCTGTGCATTGCTACGTGGCCATGGGGTTACGTCATTTTCTACATGTCTTGTTTTCTCAGGGACTGACTGGCATCTGCTTGACTCCACCTACTCTCTATATATCTCTGTTTGGATTTCCTACCTGGCTTTACTCTGCTAAGCCATTGGCCAAAACAGCTTTGTTCATCAACCAGTAAAAGCAACATATATACAGAAGTATATCCCATATCAATGTTTAATCCCTTTAGCAGTTAAATTCTTCATTGAATGAACTGTTATTTCTGTTGGTAAAAATGTACATCTCTTTAGACATAGAATTTTGTTAGTAAGAATTCAGTATGCTTCATTTTTTATATTTCTTTCTAGACAAAGAGTTTAGATGTAAATCTTCTGGGTGTGTGATGCTGGGGTTCTAAACCAGGGTGAGCCTTACATGACTGATAAGTAAGCACTTTATCATTGCACTGAACCTTCAGCTTCAGGTAAAACCATCTGATGCTTGACTGACTGGATTTTCTTAAAAATCTTTTTAAGTAGACCTGTTGATACTGGGTTTTGAGGCTCTATTTCAAATGTATATTACATTCTTTTACAAAAATCTACAAGTCTGTAGTTCTAAAAAAGAAAAACTAATTACTGCCTTCAAGATCTTTCTTTAATTTTAGGCTGTTGTTTCCTAGTTAAAACTCTATTTCTCTATGGAAACAATAGGACATTTCCTAGGAAATTGTAATACAGAAAATATTTACATACTTTATCCAAAGAATTTTAGCATAGTGCCTGGTGATTTAGTAAAGGCATAGTGTGGGAACAAGTATAGGGGAGTGCTTACCCTGCCTATTGTCAGACATTGAAGTATCATAAAGTGGGGAGTAGAACCATTAGTGTAGTGCCTTGCAGAACCATATTGGATCCCAAGTCAAGGAAAAAATAATGCTGATTATGTCTTTTTTTAAACATTGACATTTTATTCATCGATTTTCAGTAATTAAAATTTTTAAGGTGTTTATCTTTCTTACTGAGTTTTTATACTTATATTTTGTACCTGAAGTCTTTATGACTTTAAGTCAGATTTGGTGCTAGTTAAAAGTGTTGTTTCTGTGCAAGAATTGTATTTTTATACAAAGAATTACTTACCAATTGGCAGTCATTCTCATTATATTAAACTATTACTCTGCTAGTTTAATGTTTGCTTAATAAAATTGGCTTTGTGAATTTTTACTAATTCACACCTGACTTTCTGTAACTGAAAGACTGTATTTAAAGTGAGTTTACTCACATACAGTCTTAAAAATTTTAGAATCTTTAAGCTCTTCTAAAAACTATAGGCTGGTATTTGATTGAAACAAAATTATACTTGAAGTAGATGGGAATTTTCATGTAGGAGAATCATAGTGTCTTAATTAGGGTTTTCGGTGCTGTGAAGAGACATCATGAACATAGCAACTCTATAAAAAAAACATTTAATTGGGTGGCTCACTTACAGTTTTAGAGGTTCAGTCCATTATCATGATGGGGAGCATGGCAGCTTGCTGTCAGTCATGGTGCTGGACCTGAGAGTGCTACATCTTTCAGGCAACAGGAAGTCACACTGAGGGAAGCTTGAGCAAAGAGACCTCAAAGCCTGCCCCCACAGTGATACTCTTCCTCTAACAAGGCTACACCTTCTATTGGTACCATGGTTGGAGGTTACTTGTTTGTTCTTGGCTGCCCACAAAACAATCACTCAGAAACTATATTATTTGCGATACTGTTGGGCCAGTAGCTTACACGTATTGCTTACTAGCTGTTATATCTTAAATTAACCCATTTCCATTATCTTATATTTTACCATGAGGCTCATGGCCAACCAGCAAGGTTCCAACAGCAGCTACATGGCTTTCATCTCTGTCTTTTTTCCCCCAGCATTCAGTTTAGTTTTCCTGCCTCACTCTCTTCTGCTAAGCCACTGTCTGAAACAGCTTTATTCATTAACCAATAAAAGCAACATATATATATATAGAAGGACTTCACATATGAGTACCACTCCCTTTAGAGGCCATTTCTTTCAAACCACCACACATAGGAAAGTTAAATGAGGCTTGATCCCTAATGGGTGGTTAAGAAGACCTGAAAATTTCTATGTAGTCATTTCCTATTCAGAAATGCATATAGTCAATTCTTCCCTAAGAAACAACTCTTAAAGCCAGAAATGAGAGAGAAATCTCTCTCATATTGTTGTTTTTGAGAGTTAAGCAGAATTCACAAAGCACGGTTTTATAAAAATATGAATGATTACTTCTTGGATTGTTTTTTAAAGTACTGGAGTGCTTGAGTTTAATTTGAAGTCCAGTAGATAATATAAGTATAGATACTAAAGCAAACTTCAATTGGGTGTGTGTGATGGTGAGGAAGTATTTTGTCTGTGGCATATTGAGTTGAGCTATATGGATGGTAATTTGTTGGACAGATTGTTATATTGTATATAATTTGACTTGTTTTTATCTACATGTTGCAGCTTTTAAAAATGACTACAAAACGAAGTTTGTTTGTGCGGTTGGTGCCATGTCGCTGTCTACGAGGAGAAGAAGAGACGGTCACTACTCTAGATTATTCTCATTGCAGCTTGGAACAAGTTCCCAAAGAGATTTTTACCTTTGAAAAAACTTTGGAGGAGCTCTATTTAGATGCTAATCAGATTGAAGAGCTTCCCAAGGTGTGCTAATACTGTCAATTATTACATTAGATAATGTCTCCATAGATGTTTACATTCTTATATTGTTGTACATATGTGTTCCCATTCACTGGTTTAGTCCTACTGTAAACATGATTCAAATGATACAGATTTTACCTCTATTCAAGTTGTTTAAGTAGTCATGTTAATAACTTTTTTATTTTAATTGAAGCATATTATAACCATCAAAATAGATAATGCATCAATACAACTTCTGGAGCTATTAGATTTTACTAGTCAAAGAACTGAAATTTTACTTATTGTAAATTCTATAAACCCTTTATATGCAGTGTTATAATTGGGGCTAGTTGTTATATAGCTACCACATCATGCTTTTATGGTTAAATAAGTTTTTAGAGGTGGGATTCTGCATTCCTCCATTTTGTCTAGAATTGATTTGGAGAACATGCATCTTTGAAATCTCATTACATCTGATGGGAAAAGATTGATGTTGTAAAGTTCTTTTTTACATTACCATTTTATTTCTTTAGTATGCACTTACTTATTTTTCTCTTATTACCTGTATTTGTTCTTATGTTTTATGAAAAAACTGCAGTAGCTTTAAATAGTTTATTAGGGGCCATCTGAATGGCTGTTTTTGTTTGTTTGTTTCAAGACAGGGTCTCACCTTGTAGACTAGGTGGTCCTCAGCTCTTTGAGATCTCCCTGCCTGATGTGGGATTCCCCTCTGTATGCTTTGATTACCATTAATGAATAAAGAAACTGAGGACCTATAACAAGGCAGAACTTAGTTAGGCAGGGAAAGCAAAACTGAATGCTGGGAGGAAGGAGTAGTCAGGGAGAAGCCATGGAGCCATTACCAGAGACAGATAAGATGTGCTGAAACTTTGCTGGTAGGCCACGACCTCGTGGTGATGCACAGATTAATGGAGATGGGTTACATTAAGATGTAAGAGTTGGCAAATAAGAAGCTAGAGCTAATGGGCCAAGAAACGGTTTAAATAATATCGTTAATATAGTTTCTGTGTGATTATTTTGGGGGTCTAGGCTGCCGGGCGGCCAGGAAACAAACAAGCAGCTCTTGCAACACCTGCTCCTGCCTTCCAAGGCCTGTGGTTAAAGGTGTGCATCACCATACCCTTTGAAGCTGTAAATGGAGTCTTGAAATTGGTGGCTTAAAAAACTGGTTAGAGCTGAGCCTGGTGGTCCCTAAAGGAGAACGATCTCCAGTTCAAGGTCAATTTGAGCTACACAGTGAGTTCTGCCTTGGCCTGGGTCATATGTGTTTCAAAAACCAGCCAGCCATAGCCACCAAAGAACAACTTAATATGTGTTAGTAGAATCCTGAGAAATAGACTATAATTTGGACTGTGAGATTTAGAAAATAAAATTATAGGAGACTTATTTAAATAAGAATTTCTGACGAACATGAAATAATTAGTATAAGCATGCAGTATGTGAGATAAAGTTATACTAAAAAAATTATATGAAATTCAAATTTAATTGGGTATCCTGTATTTAATCCAGCAACCCTAACTGTAGCATAACAGAAAAATAAAGCATGTTGCTTATAAACCTTATTTTATGAAATAGTTGGTTTAGATATTTGTATGTTTGTGAACACCTGGGATGACAGCTTTTAACCATGATGACCAATACTAAAAGCATTGGAAAGCCAATGCTATCCTAGGTAATTATTTTTTTTATAAATTTTATTATGATAGAATCTCACTGTGTAGTTAGTCTAGCTTCGTTAGTCTAGCTTCAAACTTCACTGTAACCCTCCTGTCTCAGCTTTTCCAGCTCTGGTCTCAGCTTCCCACATCTGGGGATTCAAGGCTTGAGCCACTAAGCCCAGTTTATTCTTGATAATTTTGTGAAGTCTTTAATAGCTATGGAAAAATGTTAAACATTGCCAGTTACCTGATTGTGAATCACACCTACACTGTGATTGTAGTGTACTTTGTAATTTACTGTTCTTCGTTACTGTGTACTCCAACAATTCTGTGACTTGCCATGGCTAGTTCTCTGACAGAATATGGAAAACCTAGGTTAGTCATGAATTAGGACCTCAGTGCGGAAGCATGTATAAGAGAGATGCTGACTGTAACAGTGCAAGTAACTGAACATGTACCTGCCACAGACCTAATGGTTTTCAAGGGATACTCTTCAATATGGCTTTCTTATAAGGTTGATTGAAAGACAAGCTACAATTTGTAACTACCACTTACCCTTTGATAGCTCCAACAAAGAATATAGCCATATATTTTATATACTGGTTCTCACTGGATGGAGGCTAGAAGTATAAGTCATTCTAAGTGATTCAAGTTTATTCAGATTCACAATTACATAATCTGAACAATGTAAAGCCTTTCTTAGTGTTAATGTAGGCCTAACTCATTCAGCTTTAATATGGATATTTATCATATAAATTAGTCCATGAAATAACTAAAGAAATGTAAAAGATAATTGAAATCCTTTCTTTTTTTCCCCTAGCAACTTTTTAATTGTCAGTCTCTACATAAACTAAGTTTGCCAGACAATGATTTAACAACATTACCAGCATCCATTGCAAACCTTATTAATCTCAGGGAACTGGATGTCAGCAAAAATGGTAAGTCTTCCAGATTCTTGTCCTTTGAGACATATTTCATTGTTAGGATTTCTGTTTTCCAAATGCTTAAAAGTATATTGTAATATATTACATCCATCTAGAAACTATTTTACATAAATATAGTAACATTTTTCCCATTCAAAAGTTTTGTTACCTGCTTTATGTCAAATACAATAAAATTTAATGACGTATTTTCGGTTTAGAGTTGTTTATAAATATAAAATCAGTGATACCTCAAAATAGCTGGAAAATAAGCATATTTTAAATATATTCTTATAGACCATGCTATGCAATGGCCCTCTCAGATGTATTCCTCCTAACTGAAAGTTTTAACTTGGATCAACATCTTAATCACCCCACCCCCTTACCCTGCTTTCTGCTGACTACCATTTGACTTTCTGCTTCTGTGAACTTGCCCGTTTACTATTCAGTACTGGAAAACTCAGGATGTTCATGTTTTTACTCATGATTTCTTTTACTTAACTGGTGTCCTTTAGGTTCATCCATCCTGTTGCAAATGACTAGGTCTCCTTTTTTAATGACTGAAGGGTGTTTTACTTTACATACATATATACATTTTTTCTTTATTGAGTCATTTATTTATGGAAGCTTAGGTTGAGTCCACATGTTAGCCATCAGGAATAGCACTGCAGTGAGTACAGACATGCAGACATTTTTTTTGTCAGAAGTTGTATGGCTTACATTTTCTCCCACTCAGACAACTGTATCCCTGACTTGTTTGGGTGTGCACAGCTTTCTAGTTTTCTGTAAACTGGTTTATTTTTTTATTTGTTATCTATCTTTCTGGTGTCATGTTTTTAGAAAACCATTGTCTAGGAGGCTTCTCTCCCCCCCCCCCCCTTTCCCCTCCTCCTTATCTTCCCCTTCCTCCTCCTTCTTTTTTTTTTTTTTTTTTGGCTTTGTTTTGTTTTTCAAGACAAGGTTTCTCTGTTGCTTTGGTGCCTGTCCTGGAACTTCCTCTGTAAGACTATGCTGGTCTAGTATCTGCCTGCCTCAGCCTCCCAAATGTGGGATTAAAGGCATACACCATCATTGCCCAACCTTTTTTTTTTAAAAAAAATGTATTTTTATTTATGTGCATTGGTGTTTGGCCAGCTATATGCCTGTGTGAGGGTCGGATCCCCTGGAACTGGAGTTCCAGCAGGTGTAAGCTGCCGTGTGAGTTCTGGGAATTGAACACAAGTTCTCTGAAAGAGTAGTCAGTGCTTTTAACCACTGAACTATCTCCCCAGCACCTGCAGCAGCTTCTTTTTAAGAGGTAGTTTTACAGTATCTGGTCTCATACTTAGAATCCTTTGGTCTCCACAGTGACATCTGCTTTCCCCAGTCCCACTGAAGAGACCCCCCCCCTTTTCTTGTGATGTGTATAGGCAGATTTTTCTTTGAGCTGCCAGCACACAAAAAACAATATGAAGACATTAATTATGAAAGCTCCACCTTAGCTTAGAATTGTTTTTAACTAGCTCTTATTACTTAAATTAACCCATATTTTTAAATCTGCATTCTTCCACACACTCCACATCTCCATTATACCTGTCCTGATTATTCTGCATCTGGCTGGCCACTTTCTTCTTCCTAGAGCTTTCTCTGTCCAGAAGTTTCTGCTAGGCTGTTTAGCTTTTTATTAAACCAATCACAGTGACATGCCTTTACATGGTGTAATCAAATATCTTGCAACAGATGTATCCTTGGTAGCATTTGAAATCAATTGATTCTACATATGTGGGTTTATTTTTGGCCCTCTGTTCTGTTCATTGGCATTTTTCTATTATACCGGTATAGTATTCTTTTCTTGTTAGATCTTGCAAGTGAATTTTGAAGTTAAATGAGGTGAGGTCCATAGCTTTGTTCTTTTTACTGAAGATCATATTTGATTTGGAGTCTTTTGTGATACTCTGTTGGGATTATTTTCTTTTGTTTTTGTGAAAAATGTCATTAGAATTTTGATAGTACATTGGATCAACAGGACATTGGGTGGTTTGGACATTTTAACAGTTTTGTTCCTTCTAATCTGGAAACATGGGGAATCTTTCTTTCTATTTATTTACAGTTCTAGCTTCTTTCATCAGAGCTTTGTTGTTTTCAGTGTAGTTCCTTTTTTGCTGTTAGCTATTATAAATAGGATTTTGCTTTAAAAGAAAAAATTTGGATAGATTATTGTTAGGATATAAAAGTATGACTGACTTCTATATGTTCCATTTTAGTGTTGACCCTTTTCATTTCTTTCTGTTGCCTAATTGCTGTGGTTAGGACTTAATACAGCTATGCATAACTTAATAACCATGTATTTACAAGTTTCTCTGAGAAATATATCATAGGTAATTGTGTTTTGGTAAACACTATAGAATATGATCTTTTAAAAATAATCTTTTATATTTTGAAATTATATAATTTTCCACCCCTGCTTCCTCCCATGTAACTCTCCCCTCTCAAATTCATGGCTTCTTTTTCTTAATTGTTCTTACCTAAATATAAATACATACTTTCTCAGCCTATGTGTTATTTGTATTTATGCGACTTCAGGGCTGATCATTTAGTATTGGATAACCAATTTGGTGTGCTCTTCCCTGGGGAAGACTATTTTTCCCACTCTCCATATTCCTTAGTTGCCTGGAGACTTTCTTTGTATGTATGTTGTGGGAGGTGGTGTTGAGAAAGGATCATTTTACATAGCCCTGGCTGTTCTAGAACTCACTGTGTATACCAGACTTCTCACTATGACCAGACTCACAAAGGTCTGCCTGCCTTTGCCTCCCAAGTGCTGTGCTACCACACCTGATCCCTTTACTTCTTTGTCTTTATGAGGGGTGAGGACTGTGCTTATCTATAGGCATAAGGATAAATATTTAGAGTGTAGTTTTAGATCAGGCTGGTTTATTAACCAGGTGTAGGTTCCTTCAAGATCCATCATTTAACTAGCCCTGGATAGTTGTCCGGTTTTCCATTACCATGGATGATTTTCCTCTTGTTGTGTAGGTCTTAAGTCTAATGAGAGAGTCCATACCACCAAGGTAAGAGTGCTCCTGCTGCACCCTTAGAGTTATCTGCCATTCTGGTAGCTTATGTGGTCTTGATGTAATCAAGCAATGGTAGGCATAGGGTGCGTGAGAATGTGACTTGGATTGTACTACAGCAAATGTTTCCTTAATAAGTAGGAAGAGCTCTGTGCTCTTTCACTGCTCTGACAAGATACCCGAGAAAAGAATGTCACAAAGAGCAAAGATTGTTATTGACTCACAGTTTTGCAGTTTGAGATATATATGGTTTCGCTTCATTGCTCTTGGCTGGTGGCACAGTGCATCAGAGCAGGGATTTGTGTTGGGGTCCCATCATCCTATGGCAGACAGCAAGCAGAGAATGGAGGACTGGTGTTACATTTTTTTCTTCAAACCGTGGCCCGACTATCTGACTTCCTTTTAAAACACCCTACCTATCTGAGGGTCCCACTATTTCCTAACAACCTTAGAAGTTGTCAATAAAATCTTTGGAAATATGTAAGGCCCAAATCATAACAAGTATTCTTTAAAATTAATACAACAAGTAACAGTATATAACAGTAAATATACAAACCAGTGACGTTAAACTGGCATTATATACTGTTTATAACTGACAGAACAGGTTTGTTTACACCAGTATCACCACATATACATGAGTAAATGTATTGTACTTGGGCACTGGAGCCTACTGCAGCATTTGAGAGTAGGGATTTTTCAATTGCAGTGTTATAGATAGCTGTTGCTTGTGTGGTTGATAGTTGAATGAAGCATTTTGTGGTGCTGAATAGGTGTAGTGACAGTAGGGATTTTTTTTTTTGTTGTTCCTGATTGTAGAAGGAAAGCTTTGAACTTTTAGTTGTTGAACATGATGTTAGTTGTGAATTTATATTAGGTCTTTATTATGTGGAGAAATAGAACTATCATTAATCTGTGTGACTTTTTAAAAAGTTATTAAAAGATGTTAATATTTTGAATTTGAAAGATTTTCCTTCCATATTCTACTCAGGAAGCATGCACAGATTTCTGAATAATGAATCACTAACAAATAAGGAATAATTTTGTTTAGCTTTCTATATCTAGTATAGAAGATAACATTTTAAATTTTAAAATCTTTCAGAGAGGCTAGGAGAGAAGAAAAAAATGAACTCTTAAAATTTTTTTAAATGAACATATATTTTATAATTACAAAAAAGAATGACTGTCATGAGAATAACTTTCTAATACCACATGTCTTTGTCATATACTTCACATTTTGGAAGCTGCTTGATTGCACTTCCTACCTAATACTATCTTCCTTCCCAGGCCTTCAGTGGGGTTGAAGATTAAATAGTCATAGTTACCTTCCTCTTATGATCTAGCCAAGCCACTTCCAATGCAAGATTTAGACTCTTTAGGATAGATTATTAAAACATTTTTTAACATACGTTTCTTGCTTAATATCATTTATGCTGGTTCTAATTCTAATTTTATATTTGATATCTGTTCCTAGTGTATATAGTTTTCTATTAGGTTTGGAACGCTCTTCTTTAGACAAAAGGGGAAGGTAATGGGGAACTGTAACATGAGGGGGCCGGCTTGTTGGGGTTTCCATCCCTCCAAGTACCCCAACAGCTGGCAAGTCCCAAGGAAAATCACGCACAAGACTCCATAAGGTTATAAACTGATTGGCTCATTAGGTCAGGCTACTTATTAGCTCTTATAACTTATGTTACCCCATTATTCTTATCTACGTTAGCCACATGGGCTCATTACCTTTCTCAGTGTGACAGCTTACATGTTGCCTCTTCCGTGGTCTGCACAGGAATGGCAGAGGAACTTCCCTGCTTCCCAGAATTCTCCTGTTCTCATTGCTCCACCCCTACTTCCTGTCTGGCTTTCCCGCCTATACTGCCTGCCTGGCCAATCAGCATTTTATTAAAATATGATTGACAGAATACAGACAATTCTCCTGCACCAGGGAACCTCCTTCAGCCAATGACCTTT